ACAGGAGTTGGAGCTATTGCCAGCACCCCAGAGGTAACCTCTGAACTCTGCAGAACTCTACTCCAAGGCCAGCAGTTTCCCCCGCCACTCAGCTCCCGGCTCTGCCCCTGCTGGCTCATCCACATCTGCAACACAGCATCTTGTTTCCCTCAGATGCTTCACTCTGGCATCTGGCTGCCTTTCATGCTCTGAGTCCTTCTGTCTGAAAGGATGTTTCTCTAGCCACAGTACCCAGCTGTGCATACTTGGTCTTTCCATCACCTTGTCCCCACGTACACTTGGTCTCTCCTCCATCACTGTTTCCCTATGTACACTCGGTCTCTCCTCCATCACTACATCCTATTTACACTTAGCCCCTTCTCTCCCGTCCTCCCTCTGGATACCCATGTTTACTGCTGTACGTTTCACCAGCTCACACACTATGTGGTTTTATTTGCCTTGTTTATTGTACACTGGACTTCAAATGATGCAAGAACTGAAAAAATATTTTTTCTCATTGTTTCTTGAATCCTCAGAAGACTGGTAACATTCAGTACAATTTCAGTTTTTACTGAATATACAAATGAATAAAGGAGTCAACAAAAATGTGAATGCAAAAATCTATTCAGTATGTGCTCAGCTGACTTTTAGAGTTAGATTTGTAACCTAATTCTTTGTTCACATTGAAAATATGAAAGTAAGTGAACAAAACTGTCCTCAAAAGATGTTCAGAAATTATTAAAACAAACAGAAATCAGGAAAGACAAATTATTAATGTATAAATTATGCAAATCAATAATTGAATCATAAATTCAAAGGTTAGTGCTGGCTAAAAGAAGAAAGTATTACATTCTCATCTCTGAGAAATCTAAGCAATAAAAGAGAGAAAAAGCAAAACTAAAACCATATTTTAAGACACCACAGATCTGAGGGAGATCAAAAAGTAGAAAAAATGCAAGTGTGGCAGTATATGCCTGTAATCCCAGCACACTGGGATGCTGAGGCAGGAGGAACACAAGTTCCAGCCCAACCTGGGCTACTTAGTGGTCAGTGAATTTTAAAAAGGGATGGGAATGTAGCTCAGTGTAGACATCTAGGTTGACTCCAGCTACTCTGAGTAGTGGTGCAATAAACATAGGAGTGCAGGTCTCTGTGATGTGCCAGTTTTGCTTTCTTTAGTGTAACATGCACAAGCAGAGTCGCTGGATCATGTGGCAGCTCTCCATGCTGCTTCCCAAGGCTTTTCTTTAGTATAATGAAGACTTAATATAATAAAGTTCCTTGAGGGTTCAAAGATCAAATCTTGCACTAGATAACCCCATGTTACTAGCTGTATCCTTCGAATAGTTAATATTCTGTAAATAATTGTTGACCAAACTAAATGCATACTTTAGACCCATTGCCAACATTACATTCTGTATAAAAGAATTCTCCAGAAAATTAGAATGCTTAGTGTCATTAATATGTAGCATTGTTCGGAATTTCTGATTTAAGTGTTAACATGGAAATAATATTCAACCTGTAAGAAAGAGCAACAAAATTTCCCCGTGGTAAACAGTGTGTCAGTGCCTATCTACACATTCTGGAGAATGGGTTAAAAAGTATTTTGAGTAGCTGAAACAATGTTGCAAAGGTCTGGTCTGAGAGTGAACAGTCCTAAAGAGGAAACTGTCAATTGATGATGAAAGTGTTCTCAAGGAGAATTTCCTCCTGTGCTTTTGGCTACAGGTATGTCAGCCAGCCTGAACAGTAAGAGTTATCTCTAGTAAAAGTGACCAAAAAACCAGGCTGCTGCCCCCGCCATGTCTGGGCAGCATCTTCTGGGGCCACAGTTCCTTCCTTTGCCCATGCTGCCCTATTTTGTCCCTCTCTGGTTTTCAGCACTGCCTGTTGAGGGTCTGCCTGGCTTTCACAGATCCAACAGGAGGAAGATGGTTTGGCCAACTATGAAATGTATGTGGGTTTCAGCTTTTGGAGCTGTAGGAACAGAGTAGGTAATGCCACGGTATTGCAAGCAAGTCTGAGTAACAGGATGCATGTGATGTTTTTGTGTTGTCAAGAAAATGCTGTTAACAAGAAGGGCCCACACTATGTATTAGACCTTCCTCCCTGCACTGAGAGGACTTTGTTAGAGTCAGGCAGGCACTTGTTTGTTTTGCAGTGTTGAAAATTGAACTGAGGGCCTTCACACTAAGCTATATCCTCAGCCCTTTTTATTTATTTATTTTACTTGTTTTTTGAGATGGGGTTTGCTGTTTTGTTATTCTACTGGGAGAAGCTCATGGGACAGTGGGCAGAGCCTATTTTCCCACCCACACTGTACCCCACAAGACTGATGCAGAACAGATCGCACCTGGTCCCCCACTGCCGCCCTGACCTGTTTCCCCTGAGCCGGCTGTCCCTATGGTCAGCTTCTTCAAACCGTGCTCTGTGTACCTCCTGACCCATCTGAAGAGCTCGAGCTCCCCTTTCCATTACACCCATGGGAAGGCAGCAGCATCCCATGGCTCCTGTGTCCACAATGTCCCTCCCCACTGACTCTCATCCACATCTGCCCTTTTCTGTGACCATCTGTGCCCATCACATACTCTCCGTTCTTCAGGACTTTGGACCTGTCCCCTCAGGTCCTGCATTTATCCTTTGCTAGGTTGCTGTTGCAACGAGTAATTGGGTGTCCAGTTCTACTCCAGAAGGAGGCCATCTGCAGCAAGTTCCCTGTTCTTTTCCTCCCACACCTTACACTACCTGGCATCCACACTTTGGCTTCTCTGGCCACACCCTATACAGATCTCACTGCCCAGGTGAAACACACTTGGGGTCTCGCTGGACACAGACTCTGGGCTGGGTGGTGGGGCTCAAATGCTGAACACGGCGCTGCTCTCATGGTGCTGCTCTTCTCACCCAATCCTTTCCCCTGTGTGTCTGTCACCACCTCATAAATATGCCCGGCATTTCCATCCACAGCTCTCCTTGCTCTTCATCCCTTAGTCCCCACCTGTCCCCTCATCTACTCCTGAGTTGCTTCCCTCCTTGGGCCTTGAGGGTCTGTGACTGTCACTACCCTGAAACCATTGGGTGAAGAGCACAGGAACCCCAGATGCCCAGTGAGATGGGCAGTGCTCCTCTAACATCCCTGACCTCACAGAGTACCTCTCCCTTCTTCCACCTTTAGTTTCTCCCTGGCCCTTGTCACTAAGACATACAGCCTAGCTCCCTGCTCTTCATCCTCCCAGGCACAGACACCTCTGTGTCCTTCTCTTCTACCTGAAATGTTCTCTGCTGCCTCCTCGCTCAAGTAGCAGTTGTTCCTACAGCTTCCTCCCCAGCTGTCATCCTGACCCCCTCTGCATAGCTCCTTAGTGATAGTACCCACATCGGTGTCTTTGAGTCCAGCTGCCTCGGTCCTGATGCATTGAGTGTGGCTCTAGAACTTTTCATCTCCCTGCCCATCTCCCAGAGCCTATTTGGATCCTGGTTCCACCTCTGTGGGCCCACATGGAGCTAGCCCTGGCCAGTCCTTGGCTGCATCTCCCCGCTAACCCTCTCCTGCTCCCCTCTCCATTTCCTCTCTGATATTCAAAGACTTTCATCCTGTCCTGCCTATAAGGTTTCAGTGGCCTCTTTTTAAAAAAATCCTTAATTTTAAATTGTATAAGATGCTAGGCATCCAGATACAAATAAACCCCAATCTCAGTCCTTGAGATACTCATGGTCCTGGCTGATGCAGTGAGCCTGGGCCGCAGATGCAGTGAGCAGCAGCAGTGACATCTGTGGGACACACAGCTGCAGGTTGGGTGGGCTGCGACGCCCTGGGTTGTGGGTGGGCCTGTGCCAGCTCTGCTTCCCTCTGACACACTGCTGGTTCCCAGGTTCTGATAGGTGCATGCTTCAGAGGTTCAGGATTCTGGACATTTTGCATGCTAGGTGGTGTCTGTTAGGACTAAGATCTTTATTCAGTTAAAGGATCAGAGGAGGATTTGCAGAGCAAAACAAAACAAAGCCTGCACCCCAAGCTGGTCCGGGGCAGCTTCTCTCACACACAAGGTCACACTCAGACCTGAGTCTGCTGCAGAATTATCTCAGCCAAGGCAGCAGCAGCACTCTGATTTGCTTTCCTGATTACTAATAAATTCGGACTCTGTGTTGTTAGCCTCATGACCAGAACACCAGACCCGAGGAGCAGGCTGTGAAGCAGCAGCTGGAGAGAGCCAGTCTGGGGCAGGGCACTCACCTGTCTGCTCCTGTCACCTTTGCTGTCATGCTACAGGGCTGTGCAGCGGGGAGGTAGCCTGTACCCTGGGTCCTGCATGGAGCAGAGGCTCCTGCCCCTTCCGGACCCAGTGTGTGCACTGGCAGGGCCTCCCTGTCCTTAGTGCTCGCCACCCTGAAGAGGTGCTGAGCCAGGTTAACACCGAAGACTTCACCCCAGGCTCTGTGCTCTGGGTGTTGGAACTGCCCGGTGACCCGGCCCAGGATCAGGAATCAGCTCAACCCCCAGTGGTCCCTTCCTAGGAGCCTGTGACTGCTCTGGTCGTGGCTGGTGACCTCTGCCCCTCGGTGGCACAGCACCTTCTGCTCAGCACCTGCAGCACCCTGCTCTCAGATCAGCACTGCTGCTGCCTCCACCCAGTCCACCTCCACTGCCACCCTGCACCTGTCCCCTGTGGAGCTGAGGCCTGTGAGGGCAGGCCCACTGCTGCTCTGGAGTTGTCTATGTACCAGTGCCTCCATATCTCTAGATATTCTGGGTCCTTTCTTTTTCTTTTTCTTTTCTTTTTGCAGTCCTGAGGATTGAACTTAGGGCCTTCATACTGAATTACATCCCTTTTTATTTAGAGGCAGAGTCTGTAAATTGCTAAGTTACCCAGGCTGGTCTAGAACTTGTGATCCTCCTGCCTTAGCCTCCCAGAGTGCTGGGAGTTAGGTCCTTGATGCATGTTCACTCGGTAAGTGACAGCGGTGAGGACCAGGGTGCTGTGGTGTGTCAGTTTGTGCTCACATGTCGTCCTCTTGTCTTCCAGGAGCCCAGCAGCCGGGGCCCCCATACTACACTGACCCTGGAGGACCAGGCATGAACCCTGTTGGAAACATGGCGATGGCTTTCCAAGTGCAGCCCAATTCTCCCCAAGGCTGTGTGGCCTACCCACCGCCCCCTTCCTACTGCAACACGCCCCCGCCCCCCTACGAACAGGTGGTCAAGGACAAGTAGGCCACCCCGTGGCCAGGCAGCCCGAGGGCGGGCTCCCCTCTGGCTCTCAAGCTCCTGTGGAGGACATGTCTGAGCCCACACTGTCTCCTCTGTTGCTTCCGTTTCTGATGTGGCCTGTGACCTCCAGCAGCATAGCAACTGTCCCCAAGGGTGACAGTTTAGAGCTGTCTGACCAGGTCCTCTAGAGAGACTGAGAGGAGGGAAGGGAGGAGGGCTGGGACAGGCGAGGCCACAGCAGCCAGATGGACTGTCCTGCCTGGGACAGGCCCCTCCACACTCCTCTGTCCCCACTCTTTCCTGCAGCCAGGCCTCCCTCTGCACAGACTGGAGTCCAGCACCACAGCTTCCTTGATAGGTGAGCATGGACAGGGTCAGCTCAGCTGTCCCCTCTCCTGTCGCCTGAAGGCCATAAGAAAGTCCTTTGAGTCCTGGGAAGTCACTCCCTGCCCAGGCATGGACAGTGTGCCCTGGCTCTGGGTTTGACTTGGAGATGCATGTCCCCTCTCTGTATCTTGGTGGTGCCTGTGTCTGTCCTGTGCCCCTGGGGTCATGGCCCAGAGGCTCCTGAACACCCTGTCCCAGGCCACACAAGGACTGGATAGACATGGGGTGCCCCATTGGGAAGGCATGAGCCTTGGAGGAGCTGGGTTAGAAGGCTCACTGAGACGACAGTGGGATGATACAGACCAGCAGTTCCGCCATGTCACTAAGGTCATCAGGAAGCTGTGGTGAGAGACCAGGCCCCTAGGAATGGCCCTGGCCCCAGGACGCTGCAGTAGTCAGAGTTATTGACAGTAATGGGCTCCTCCCCAGCATAGTTAGTCACGTGGGTGTGAACATAGAGCAGACTTCCGGACTGCATTGTGTGTGCTGTGAGCAGCGTGGCCAAGATGCCTGCGTAGATTGGTGGTGTTGGGAGCAGGTAGGGGTGGCTGTTGTTCAGATGTACTCCGGAAAGCCTCGAGAAATAGTCACTCACTTAACATGAGCATCCGGGCCACTCCTGGGAGGACCTGGAGACTACAGCTTCCTCCCCAGCTGTCATCCTGACCCCCTCTGCATAGCTCCTTAGTGATAGTACCCACATCGGTGTCTTTGAGTCCAGCTGCCTCGGTCCTGATGCATTGAGTGTGGCTCTAGAACTTTTCATCTCCCTGCCCATCTCCCAGAGCCTATTTGGATCCTGGTTCCACCTCTGTGGGCCCACATGGAGCTAGCCCTGGCCAGTCCTTGGCTGCATCTCCCCGCTAACCCTCTCCTGCTCCCCTCTCCATTTCCTCTCTGATATTCAAAGACTTTCATCCTGTCCTGCCTATAAGGTTTCAGTGGCCTCTTTTTAAAAAAATCCTTAATTTTAAATTGTATAAGATGCTAGGCATCCAGATACAAATAAACCCCAATCTCAGTCCTTGAGATACTCATGGTCCTGGCTGATGCAGTGAGCCTGGGCCGCAGATGCAGTGAGCAGCAGCAGTGACATCTGTGGGACACACAGCTGCAGGTTGGGTGGGCTGCGACGCCCTGGGTTGTGGGTGGGCCTGTGCCAGCTCTGCTTCCCTCTGACACACTGCTGGTTCCCAGGTTCTGATAGGTGCATGCTTCAGAGGTTCAGGATTCTGGACATTTTGCATGCTAGGTGGTGTCTGTTAGGACTAAGATCTTTATTCAGTTAAAGGATCAGAGGAGGATTTGCAGAGCAAAACAAAACAAAGCCTGCACCCCAAGCTGGTCCGGGGCAGCTTCTCTCACACACAAGGTCACACTCAGACCTGAGTCTGCTGCAGAATTATCTCAGCCAAGGCAGCAGCAGCACTCTGATTTGCTTTCCTGATTACTAATAAATTCGGACTCTGTGTTGTTAGCCTCATGACCAGAACACCAGACCCGAGGAGCAGGCTGTGAAGCAGCAGCTGGAGAGAGCCAGTCTGGGGCAGGGCACTCACCTGTCTGCTCCTGTCACCTTTGCTGTCATGCTACAGGGCTGTGCAGCGGGGAGGTAGCCTGTACCCTGGGTCCTGCATGGAGCAGAGGCTCCTGCCCCTTCCGGACCCAGTGTGTGCACTGGCAGGGCCTCCCTGTCCTTAGTGCTCGCCACCCTGAAGAGGTGCTGAGCCAGGTTAACACCGAAGACTTCACCCCAGGCTCTGTGCTCTGGGTGTTGGAACTGCCCGGTGACCCGGCCCAGGATCAGGAATCAGCTCAACCCCCAGTGGTCCCTTCCTAGGAGCCTGTGACTGCTCTGGTCGTGGCTGGTGACCTCTGCCCCTCGGTGGCACAGCACCTTCTGCTCAGCACCTGCAGCACCCTGCTCTCAGATCAGCACTGCTGCTGCCTCCACCCAGTCCACCTCCACTGCCACCCTGCACCTGTCCCCTGTGGAGCTGAGGCCTGTGAGGGCAGGCCCACTGCTGCTCTGGAGTTGTCTATGTACCAGTGCCTCCATATCTCTAGATATTCTGGGTCCTTTCTTTTTCTTTTTCTTTTCTTTTTGCAGTCCTGAGGATTGAACTCAGGGCCTTCATACTGAATTACATCCCTTTTTATTTAGAGGCAGAGTCTGTAAATTGCTAAGTTACCCAGGCTGGTCTAGAACTTGTGATCCTCCTGCCTTAGCCTCCCAGAGTGCTGGGAGTTAGGTCCTTGATGCATGTTCACTCGGTAAGTGACAGCGGTGAGGACCAGGGTGCTGTGGTGTGTCAGTTTGTGCTCACATGTCGTCCTCTTGTCTTCCAGGAGCCCAGCAGCCGGGGCCCCCATACTACACTGACCCTGGAGGACCAGGCATGAACCCTGTTGGAAACATGGCGATGGCTTTCCAAGTGCAGCCCAATTCTCCCCAAGGCTGTGTGGCCTACCCACCGCCCCCTTCCTACTGCAACACGCCCCCGCCCCCCTACGAACAGGTGGTCAAGGACAAGTAGGCCACCCCGTGGCCAGGCAGCCCGAGGGCGGGCTCCCCTCTGGCTCTCAAGCTCCTGTGGAGGACATGTCTGAGCCCACACTGTCTCCTCTGTTGCTTCCGTTTCTGATGTGGCCTGTGACCTCCAGCAGCATAGCAACTGTCCCCAAGGGTGACAGTTTAGAGCTGTCTGACCAGGTCCTCTAGAGAGACTGAGAGGAGGGAAGGGAGGAGGGCTGGGACAGGCGAGGCCACAGCAGCCAGATGGACTGTCCTGCCTGGGACAGGCCCCTCCACACTCCTCTGTCCCCACTCTTTCCTGCAGCCAGGCCTCCCTCTGCACAGACTGGAGTCCAGCACCACAGCTTCCTTGATAGGTGAGCATGGACAGGGTCAGCTCAGCTGTCCCCTCTCCTGTCGCCTGAAGGCCATAAGAAAGTCCTTTGAGTCCTGGGAAGTCACTCCCTGCCCAGGCATGGACAGTGTGCCCTGGCTCTGGGTTTGACTTGGAGATGCATGTCCCCTCTCTGTATCTTGGTGGTGCCTGTGTCTGTCCTGTGCCCCTGGGGTCATGGCCCAGAGGCTCCTGAACACCCTGTCCCAGGCCACACAAGGACTGGATAGACATGGGGTGCCCCACTGGGAAGGCATGAGCCTTGGAGGAGCTGGGTTAGAAGGCTCACTGAGAAGACAGTGGGATGATACAGACCAGCAGTTCCGCCATGTCACTAAGGTCATCAGGAAGCTGTGGTGAGAGACCAGGCCCCTAGGAATGGCCCTGGCCCCAGGACGCTGCAGTAGTCAGAGTTGTTGACAGTAATGGGCTCGTCCCCAGCATAGTTAGTCACGTGGGTGTGAACATAGAGCAGACTTCCGGACTGCATTGTGTGTGCTGTGAGCAGCGTGGCCAAGATGCCTGCGTAGATTGGTGGTGTTGGGAGCAGGTAGGGGTGGCTGTTGTTCAGATGTACTCCGGAAAGCCTCGAGAAATAGTCACTCACTTAACATGAGCATCCGGGCCACTCCTGGGAGGACCTGGAGTAGTTTCCATCCCCATAGGCCATTTTCCGCCCATGGCAGGATGAGTAACTGTGTGAGTTGTGGGGACAGGAGCTGTGGAGACCCCGGGGGTACCCTGGTAGAGCCAGGTGCTGCCGCCTGGCCTGTGTTGGCCCTGACCTCTGCCCCCAACTGTCTCCAATTGGATGGGACCACAAAGCACAATATCTGCTGTTTACAACAAGAGTCCCCTCAGCTCATTCCCTCCAGGATATTTATTTTGCATTTTTAACGTCAGTTTCTCCCTTTACTTTTTAAATAAGCACAGTGAGAGCTGCCTCTGGCAATGGACGAGGCACAGCTGAATCAGGCACTGAAGTCCATGCTGAACTTTGTTCATCTTTTTGATAGCAAATAATCTTAAGAGACTGAACCCCTGGGAGGGCTCAAGCGTTTTATAATCCGTGTGTGAGAAGTGTCATCCCCATGAGCTGGCGAGTCCTGCATCTGTGGCTGAGCCTCCTGTGCTGTGTGTAGCTGCCCTGCAGGGCTGGCAGTTAGGAGCGACTTGGGCGGATCTGTGCATGCTCTTCCTGGGTTACGCGTGGCTCGTGTCGCAATTTTTGTTCTTTTGATAGAGTCCTGTTTCCTATGTATGCAAAATAAAAATAAGTTTGTTCACGTGCTTTGACTATTTTGCTGGGGATTGAGTGGGACGGAGTATGGGTGCGGGTTCCTGGTGGGGAAGGAGTGCAGGGTTCTGGTTTAGAAGACACTTAGCAGTCACTAAGCCCAAGAGAAAACCATCTGTGAGGAGTTAGGAGACAGGCATTACATGCACAGCTGGTACTGGTGTTGGTTAAGTGGGACGTGGATCTGTTTTCCTTAAGCAGGTGGCCTTTGCTTAAAAATCCCACTTTGGAGCTAGGCAAGGCAGTGGGCATTGATAGTCCCAACTACTGGGGAGGCTGAGGCAGGAGAACTACTTGGGCCCAGGAGTTCAGGGCCAGCCTGGACAACATGGCAAGATTCATCTCAAAAAGAAAATCCAGCTCCTACACAATGAGATGCTGTTCTTCCTACCGACACTGCTGAAGTCCATAGTTGCTGCAGGTAAATTGTGTCTTAGTTGACTCACTTGACTGTGGTCATGCTTGTGAAGAATTTTATTCTGCCTCTGAAGCACTTGTCCCCAAACCTGGCACCTCCCTTAAAAGCTTTCAGTGAACCAAGCTGGGGGTCTCCCTGTCACTTCGAGATCGTCTTTGCGGATTGGTGTTATGGGAGCATCTGGGTACTATGTAGCCCTGCCCTAACCAGTTACAGGGCCATAAAGTGCTCTGCAGAGGGTCTGAGGCAGGGAGATGCACCCCTCTCCCGCCCACATATGCCATGGCTGTCCCAAAAGGCTGGTGGAAGACCATGCAGGCCACCCTTGGAGGTCCTCACCCTGCACCCTGCTGCCTCCCATGCATGCTTATCAGACAGCTTCTCCAGGGGATGCTTCATGCTGGGAGGCATTTGACTTGCTTATGTCTCATGCTGGTTTGTTTCTGTCTTTGAAAGGAGATTGAAAAGACCCATTTCCTGATAAAACTAACTTGGGTACAGCTGCAGCGCCAAGTACCACACAGCTGTAAAATCACCTTAAGAGTGCAGAAAGCCACTAGGCATGGTGGCACATGTCTGTAGTCCCTAGCAACTCTGGAGACTGAGGTAGGAGAATCACTTGAGCCTAAGAGTTCAGAGCCAGTCAGTGATATTGGGAGATGCTGTCTTGTAAAAAAGAAGTGTGAAAGTGCACAAAAAGGCCAGTTTCTAAACATAGTGGCCCAGGGTGAGTGGAGCATGGTAGAGGGACTTCAAAATAAGTTTACAGTGAACACCTGAGAAACCACAACCTTGGTTCTACGGTGATCCTTACAGTCACAAGTACTTAAGCTTGTCCTACAGCCCCTATGTGCTGCGTGTTAGGGCACTGAGAGCCTCTCTGGCCTTAGAATAAGGCAGTTCATCCTCATGCTGAGCTCTACCCTTGCTTCCTCCAGTCTGGGCTGATTCTGATCTCCCTGATACCATCACACAGAAGCCTGGATTGTGGTGAGTGCAGAGCTCTACCTTGGCTGGAGCTTTGCTGGGTGCTTGTACTGGGTGCATGTGCTGGGCCTACCACCAGCTCACAGTCCAAATTTGGCTGCTCATCTGCCCCTGAGGTGGCATCCAGCAGAGCCCAGGTGTGCCCTGTCTCAGGAATCCTTAAACTCCAGTACCACAGCAGGATGGGTCCAGGCCTACTCTCAGACACACCTGGGCCTCCTCTTGTGCCTCCCATTTCCTCAGCAGCCCACACTACACCTGGAGATGTGGGGGAGTAGGAGGCCCTAGGGACCCTGTGATGCCCTTTCTTTGGGTTCTTCTGCTGAAGGGTGTTTTTTTGTTGTGGTGGTTGTTGTTTGAGGTTTTTATGTTTGTTTGATTTTTGAGATAGTGTCTTGCTATGTAGTTCAAGCTGGCGTTGAACCCACTTAGGTAACCCAGGCTGGCCCTGAACTCATCGTGATCCTCCTGCCTCAGCCTCCTGAGTGCTGGGATTACAAGTGTGTACCATTAAAGATGTTTTTACTCTTCAGCCTTTAGCTGTATATTCTGAAAAAAACCTGACCAGTTCTGTTTGTTTTGTACCAAGGGTGCTGCCCTTGGGTTACTTGCCCTCCTGGTACTGACAGAGTGAGCAGGAAGAGCTCCAAGGTTTGTGCCATGTCCTTCCCCATCCAGTAACTTTCCTCCAGTAAAATGGGAACAGGACTCATTTTCAAACCCAAGGTCATGTCTTGAGGTGGCAAACCCAGAGCTCTTTTTTATCTGTCTTTCCCGGTTTCACTGAATCTGCAAAGAAGTTGGTAACTTCTGTCCAGGCAGAAGCACAGAAACGTTGAGCAATTTCTGAGATAGAAGAAGGCAGGTGGAGTTGATGGAGAAGAAGACAGAAGCCAAGGCTTGGTGCTGGAGGTACTGGGAAGGAAAGAGCTGCTCCCCAACAAGCTCCACACAGGCCAGTGAGGGCAGGAGGCAGGCAGGGCAGGGCACAGCAGTGCCCAGGTACCAGCCCTGCCTGCATGGGAGCCGTCTGCAGGAAGAGGCCACACAAGGCTGCTCTGCCCTAATGCTCCTGCAGCATGGTTGCAGGTGAGCTGTTGGGCATAATTCCTTAACTTGAAGAAGTGGCTTACACACTTTCTAAGCTGTCAGTTGACTCATTCATGGTCCCTGGACCTGTGCTCCCTTTGGATCTCATGTGTCCGTAGTGGCCCATGTGTTAAAGGCTTGGTCTCCAGCTTGGTGTGTGCAGCTGGGAGTGGGGAACCTTTAGCCGTGGGTCTTGATCACTGGGGATGTCCTTGAAGGGGTCACTGGATCCTAAGCCCTTTGCTTCCTTTTTCTTCCATTCCTGGCCATGAGATAAATCACTCTACACCCCCTCCACACACACACACACACACACACACACGCACACACACATTTCTACCAGGATGTACTGCCTTAACAAGAGACAAATCCACAGGGCCTGAAACCTGCAAGATTGAAAGCCAAACAAGCCTTTGGTTGGCTATCTTGGGTATTTGTCACAGTAATGAGAAGCTGATGAATGCAGTCTCTGTCCAGGCCATGGAGAGACTCTTAGCAAAGTGGAACCTCAGAGACCTGGGAGAAAGAATGAACATTGTTTCCCCACCAGCACAATCCCAGTGCCACCATGGACATCTTCACTGGCGCCAGAGAAATAGCACGACTTTGTTGGCCTCTTCATGCACCTTTGAGCACTGCATCGTTTTCCACAGAGGGTCACCTACTATTTAGAATGCTTTGTAACAAGTAAGACTCCTCATCCCTCTTTCTGTCACTGAGTAGGAGGGAGAGAACCCTTGCATTCTGATACCTTCTCCAGGTTCTCCTAAGAGACCATGCTCATGCAAAGAAGAAACCAAGAGGCACCACACACTTCACCCCCATGCCACACATCACTGTGCTGTGTTCTTTGTGTGGCCACTTCTGTGTATACTGCCCACTGAGAGCTATATTTGTCATCTTTGCATGGCAGGGACAAAGTACCAGGAATACACAACTCAGAGAAGAAAAGGTTGGTTTTGATTTCCATTTTCAGAGGGTCCAGCCTGGTTTGCTGGCTCCAAGACAAAAATGGCATGGAAAAAGCAACCCACCCCCTTTTCCCCTCTGTCACAAGCAGTTTTGCTCTTCTGTGGGCTCCCAACATGATGTTCTATCTCTCCACAGGCTCAGAAACATTGGCGCAAACCTGCCATGGACTACAACCTCTGGAACTGTGAGCCAAAGTAAATTTTCACTCCTCATAAGTTGATCACCTCAAGAGTGGTCACATCAGCAGGAAGCTGACTGACACAGATAACCTGTGCTGCTGTGTCTCTTCCTCTGCCCATGTGGTGGGTACAGTGCCCTCTTGTGCATGATATAGTGGACACATGGTGATTGCCAAGACCACAGCCCCAGCACAACCCAGAGGGAGGTGGCAGGATTAGAATTGGTCCTGTTGCCACCCCCATGAGGGAATCTCCCTCTGACACCAGCAGGGTTTAGGGAGGATCATGGCTTTGCTTTTATGTAAGGAGTTGGGCCCTGTGCAGGTGCTGAGGGCATAGAGAGAAGTGCAGAGGCTCAGTCTATTCCATCAATGCCAGCCATGCTGCAGAGGGGCTGTCTGGACTCCAGGAATCACAGGCAGTCCTGATAGCAGAAGCTGGTGTGTCACCTGCCACAGAGCAGCACTCAGCATACACCCAGGAGTCGAAACTGGCAGCAAGCATGTACATGTGCAAAGAGCCAGAATCATCCAAAGAAGAAAGGGGCCATGGTGTGGATGTAGCTCATTGCTCAGTGTCAGAAGCATGGTCCTCTGTGTGGAATGTGTGAGTCTTTAAGAGGTGGGAGGTCATTGGCACTGCTCTGGAGAGATTAGTTATGAGAGAAGAGCAAGGTGGCCCCTCCTCAGCTCTGGCTTCCTGTTGGAAGGAAGCCACGTGGCCTGGCCCTCTCCTGCCATGATGCCACCCACCAGGAATCCTTCATCAAAGCCAAGTAAATGGAAGTACTGCATCTAGGACTTTCAGCCTCTACCACAATCCCTGTTCTTTTTCCAAGCCTGAAGTATTTGTTATAGCAACAGAAAACAGATTAATGCAAAGGGGATTTAACATCTTGCCTCAAATTGTACAAGGAGAAATGCTTTTAGATGTATGTTCTATGCCAGCACTGAAGATGTTCATTAAAAATGTAATGTGGAGCCAGGCGTGGTGGCACACACCTGTAATCCCAGCACTTGGGAGGCTGAGGCAGGAGGATCGCTGTGAGTTCAAGACCAGCCTGGGCTACATAGTGAGTTCTAGGTCAGTCTCAACTACATAGTGAGACTCTGTCTCAAGAAACAAAAACAAAAGCAAAAAATAGTAATAATAATAAAAAATGTAATGTGAGTCAATATGTTATTTTACATGTTCATCAGCTAGATTAAAAAAGTAAATGGATAAAAATTAGTAATGATGTATTCAGCCCAATATATGAAAATCTTATTATTTCAACATATAACAACATACAATATATTTACACAAAATGTCATGTGCTTCCCTGTGCTACCTTTGGAATCTTGTATGTATTTTGTGCTCAATGCTCTCTTGGAGGAGCCACATTCCGAGTGCTCAGTAATGACCCAGGGCTGACTTACTACATAGTGCATACCTGGAAACCCAAGAAAATGTTCAGCTCCAATGTTCTGACTGGTAACTTATAGGAAGATCCACTAAAATCAAAATTAGCAAAATTGGGTGCTGTTGTTGCTGTCAGGGCTTGGGATGGAACCAGGGTCATGCGCACAGTAGGCCATCACTCTACCCCAGAGCTTCATCCCCTGTCCTTAGCTATAAAATGGTTGATTGGGGTGAAAACTCAGACTCCTGTGACAGCATAGTATGCAGCTTCCAGTGGACCAAACTAGTTGTCTCAATTAACTCTGTGATCATGCTGCCCCTGTAATAATCCTCAGTCTAAAGGTCAGGAGCCAAGTCCTGGGAAGTGGAAGGGTGGGTGTGAGCTGCCCTAGCATCCTTGTTGGGGATGGGATGGCTGTATCCCACTGTAGCTCAGTGTTTCATCCAGGTGCTGCTGGGGACCCAAAGGGAGGAGACACAGGACGGGGATATCAAGAGGGCTAGCAGGACACCAGAGCTCCAATTCTAAGAGGTAAAGCTAGTGCTGACTCTTGGATCTCTGCCCCAACTACCTCCTAGCCACAAACTAGTCTCTTTAGGTTCCCACCAAGATCTCCATGACTTCATCAGGATCTCTATGATCTCACCAGGATCTCTGTGACTTCACCAGAATCTCTATGACTTCACCAGGATCTCTGTGATCTTGTCAGGAACTCTGTGACTTCACCATGATCTCTATGACCTTACTAGGATCTCTGTGACCTCACCAGAATCTTTGTGGCCTTACCAAGATCTCTGTGATCTTACCAGGATCTCTGTGATCACATCAATATCTCTGTAATTTCACCATGATCTTTGTGACCTCACCAGGATCTCTATGACCTCATTAGGATCTCCATGATCTCACCAAGATCTCTAGGAAGAGGCCAACTGTGTCCTGAGGACTCCTTCCCTTTACCTAGAAAGTGTGCTGAGGAGGCACAGGGTGGCGAGGTTTATAGGCAACCTCAGTGGCTGACCCACAATGTGGAGCTTGAGGATGGCTGGGCAGGAGCGCATGTTGCTACTCATCTTAAGGTCTGTATTGGAAGTCAAGCTCATATTTTTATTTTTTGTTTACTTATGCAAGTCATACATGCTCATTGCAGAAAAAAGCAGATTGTATTGAAAAGCACACAGATGAAGGAAAATGAATGTCCCAGGAGTTGCTTACATAAATCCCTGATCTTGGGGAGCCCATTTTGCTCCAGCTCTTTTTCAGCACTTGAACATTCTCCCGCCTCTTCCCCAGTAACGATTAAATGGTGTCCCTCATCTTTTTTTCTTCAATACTATGAATTGGACCCAGGGCCTTCACAGTGAGCTTCATTTCCAGGCCTTTATTAGAGTCTGCTAAGTCGCTAATTGGTAAAAGTTTGGGATCCTAGTTGAATCCTCCTGCCTCAGCCCCCAGAGCAACCCTTTTATAGCCACTCTCATCAGACTTTTGAGTTCAAGTTTGTCTTCCATTTTGAACTAATAAATTTTTTATGCATTCAGAATAATGTGTGTGGCTTCTGCACAAGACTGGAGATTTTTTAACAGGGACTGATTAGAAAATTTTTCTAGTACCTCACTATTGACTGGGGAGCAGGGAATGGAGTCTTCTAAACATAATTTCATAAGGAGTAAAACCTGCTTTATAAGGGGTATGTGCACCTAACTCTAAGGACAGCCAAAGGCAGCAGGGTGAACCATCATTCACCAGTTTCCAACATCAGTTTGGTCAGAGCAGATTTTATGGTCTAACTCATCTGTTCCATTTGCCTCAAGCTTTGGGGTCAAGGAGGCATAGTGGAGTTTCCAGTTTATAGCTAGTGCCCTACTGACTGAGTTATACAGGTTACAGAGGTGGAGCCATTGTAAGATCAAATGAACACCGGTAGTCTGAATCTGAGTTAATTCTTGAAGAAGTTTCTTTGCCACCACAGTAGCAGTCTTCCACCAAGTAGCATAGGTCTCTGTCCTACCTGAGAAGGTATCTATGAAAACTAGGAGGTAACAGTAGCCACCCACTGGTGATTTGATCTCTGTGAAATCCACTTTCCAGTGTTCTCCAGGATTTCTGTCCCAGAATCTGACCCCAAGGGTTTGCAGATGGGCCTTGGTGGGGATTTACTTGTATAGTTTAGGCACCTAAGGGAGGCCTTGGGGACCAGCTCTTGCAGCTTTGAGAAGCAGTATCTTGGAGCTAGAAGTTTGGCCATCTTGGAGCCCCCAGGTGAGTGACCGAATGCAGCTGCTGGATGATCTGTCATCCTAATGCCTGGGGGATGTAGATGGGACCATCTGGAAATTTCCCCCCCTTTAGGGATCTTTCTTTGCTTGAAGCTGGCTTGCTTCTTTGTCTTCCTCTTCATTGAAAGTGGAGCTAGTCAGGAGCAAAGGGAGAGGGAGGACTCATGGTAGGCAGGATGACTAAGGATTCAGCTAGCCTTAGAGCTGCCTCCCTGGCTGCACAATCTGCAAGCTGATTTCCCTTAGCCTTGGGTGTATTGTTCGTTTGGTGACCCTGAATGTGAGTGATGGCTACCTCTTGAGAAGCCATATGATCTCTAGGAGAAACATCTCTTCTTTGTTCTTGACAGTCTTTTCTGTGGCGGTTAGGAACCCTGTCTCCTTGTAAATGCTCAAGTGGCTATGTAGAGTAGCAAAGGCATACTTATGTCAGCATATACATTTATCTTCTTTTCTTTTCCCCATCTCAAGGCCTGGGCCAAGGCAATCATTTCTGCCTTTTGGGTTAGGTCCCCTTTGGGCAGAGGCTGAGCCCAAATGACTTGATCAACTGTAGTCACTACAGCTCCCACCCTCCAAACCCACTTACCACCATGCTGCTTCCATCTGTGGAGAGGGTGGCACCTGCCTCAGCCAAGAGGGTGTCTGTTAAGTCCAACTGCCCTCCCCAGGCCTGGTATAGTGCTTACTCACAGTTGTGAATTGGGATGTCAGGGTCATCATCTGGCATCAGTGTAGCCCAACTGGGAAACTGTCCTGCTGAGAAGACTATGTGAGGCTGGTCAAGCAACAGGCTTTTGCCATCCATTTGTTAGTAGCTCCCTGAGCAGAGTCTCTACTGGGTGAAGGTCAGTTAGGACTAGGTCTTGTCCGAGGGTCAACTTATCAGCCTCCTTGACCAACAAAGCTGCGGCAACTACCACCAAAGACATGAAGGCCACCCTGAGGCCTCGGGGTCTAATCGTTTAGAAAGATAGGCTGCAGGGTGTGTCCAGGATCCCAAAGATTATGTCAAGACTTCCTTGGCAATTCTTCTTACCTTGTGGATGAATAGATGAAAAACTATTGCTGCTATTGATGCATAACATACTGCTATTACTGGTCTTTTTGTATATATATAAATATACACACATATATATATAATTTGAATTTTTGGAAACTTTAACTGTGCTGTCAACTTTGGAAAAAGTTATCCCAATTTACTGTGTTGAGTTGGCATTGTACAGAAATTGACAGCCATATTGGTCTAGAAATGTTAATTTTTTAATTTTTATTTTAATTTTATTTTTTTTTCCATTTGTACAGGGGTAATGCATTGTATTAAATATGTAAGGTCAAATCTACGTGGGTTTGATTACAGAAAGTAATAAAGTATTCTCTAAATAACGAAAAAAATAAGATAAGACTACAAGAGCAAGAAACAATTTAAATATGTTCAGGGACCATTTCATCTTCAGAATTAAGGATTATTTTAATCTTACATCACTGCCTTTTCTCTTTTACTTTCCTTTTTAGTTTTATTTTAGGATTCCCTATTTTTAATGTTCATACAGAGATTTCTTTAATTGAAATACCGAATAGTTTCTCTGGTGTGAAAAACTATAATAGTACACAGGATCCTAATGAGATAATTAATAATGTGAAATAGGAAGTAAAGGACTAAAGGTGTAGGGAAAGTGGGAAGGGTGGGGGAAAGGTAATAAGGGAGAGGAAAAATATGAGAAATTGAAAAAATGGAAATAAAGTGTTTGTAAATGGGGATGGGAGGGGGGGTGAAGGGAGGGCAGGGACAAGGGGAAAAAATGAGAATCAAGACCTATCATGTAAAGGTACAAGATCCCAATAATGAATGTAACTGTATTGTATACCTAGATTGTACCAATAAACTCAATAAAAAGAGAGAGAGAGAAAGAAAAAAAAAAAAGATTTAGCAACACTGGGTAGTGCCAGGGCCAGGGCTGATACCAGAGCTCTTTTCAGATTCTGGAAGGCCTTTTCTTCATCTATTCACCATTCTAGAGGTTGATTTCCTGCCATTGCAGAATGGAGGGGCTACACTATCTCAGCAAACCCAGATATCCATATTGGACAATATCCAGCAGCACCTAGGAATTCTTGTACCTGTTTCTTGGTAGCTGGTGTGGATATCTGGAGGATGGCCCTTTTCCTGGCCTGGGACAAAGCTCTTCTTCTGAGATTTCATACCCCAGCTATGATACTTTAGGGGCACAGAGTTGTGCCTTCTTGTTCAAGGCACAGTAGCCCAACTCCTCTAGTAGCTGAAGAAGCACTTTTGTCCCCTTCAGACATTCTGAATAGCTAGTACCACCTAATAAAAAATCATTGAAGCAGGGTGGTGGGATAAAAAACTCACCAATTCTTTCTAGAGGGCCTCACCAAACAGGACAGGTGCATTTTTCAATCCTTGAAGCATTTGGGTCCTGGTGAGCTGGCATGAGTCTCTGGAAACTGGATCAGCCCACTGGAAAGCAAAGATAGGCTGGCTAGCTGGGGCAGGGGCACACTGAAAAAAGTATCCTTTAAATCTAGTACAGTATGCACTTGGTGCTCAGGAGACAGCAAACTCAGGAGGGTGTATGGGTTGGGGACAGTAGGGTGCAGTTACCACTTGCTAGAACATCTCTCAAGTCCTGGACCAGTAATCTGACATGCCCACCTTCTGTACTGGCAGGAACAGGGTGTTCCATGAAGACTGACAGGGAGTTAATATCCCAAAATCCAGCAACCCTCTTAATGTGAGGCACTATCCCATTTGGCCTTGGAGTATTGTCGATCTCTCACAAGCGTGGCTGTCGACAAGAGCTCAACTATCACTGGAGGGTGGTAAGCAGCTGAACTCCATGGATTAGTTTCTGCCCCCACCTTTGGGAACTCCACCTGGAGTCTATCCAATAGGCCCTCAGGGCTTGCCTCCTCTGGGTTTTCTTCCTCCAAGAAGAAATACACCTCAGACAGGATAGTGGTCAAGAACAATTGATATGAAGGGAGTGACATCTGAGGCTTGATTGGAGTGGAAGAAATGGTGGCCTTTAGTTTATGAAGGAGGTCTCACCCCAGCAAGGGGAATGGCAGTCCAGTATCACTAGAAAAGAGTAACTTATCTTGATCCCAGGCTCGCCATTTGTTCACTGGTGAACAGGCCGTTTTGGGCTACTGCCGTGGACCCCTGAATGGGAATGGGTTGTGATGAAAGCTCTCCCAGAGGAGTACTGACCTCTCAGCAACAGTATCCACCAGGAAACAGACCCATTTGCCCCCTACTTCATCATTCACCAGGGGCTCCTAGGGGCCAAGCGAGGAACAGCCCTGGCCTCCTCAGTCTGAATCTTCCTTTCCCCTGGGTGTCAGGAGGGATACTGCAGAGGCCCTGCAGGGGCATTCATTTTTCCAGTGCCCTTCCTCCTTGTAATAGGCACATTGATTTCTGCCCAATGGCAGGTGTCCTCCTGGATTTCTAGGCACCTGCCCTTTGAGCTTCCCAGAGTCCCTTGGGGTACCCTCTGATGGCTGCTGCCAAGGTCTTTGCTTGTTTCTTTTCTTTTTTTTTTGTTTGGATTGAGTTTGCTTGTTTCTTGACTGATTTTTTTGCCATAACTGTGGCCAATTTTTGTTTTTCTGAATCCCTATTGTCAGACACCTTTTGAGCTACTTCTAATAGCTGAGATGTCTTCATTCCTGGGAATCCCTCCAATTTTTATAATTTTCTCCTAATATCAGGTGCAGACTGAATAACTTAACCCAAATTTATAGCTCTACTATTCTCTGGAGCTGAGGGGGTCTAATTTGTAAACCCAGAAGGCCTCTTGGAGTCTCTCCAGGAATTCAGCAAGGGGCTCCTCTGGTCCCTATGTTACTTCAGTGGTTTTTGATAGATTTATGGTTTCTGAGCCACTGCCCAGATTCTGTTCAACAAGTTCTGGTGAAAGATGATCAAAGACTGAAAGCCCTCCCAACAAAACCATTCTAGCCTCAAACCTAATCCTGTCTCACTCCTCAGCAGTAAACAGGGTCAGTAACAAATCTTGACAGTCATCCCAGGTTGGTAGATGAGTCCTAAAGATTGACTCAATCAGGGAAGTCAGAACCTGGGGCTTCTCAGAGAATGGTGGATTCTGTGTTTTTCAGCTGTAGAGGTCAGACGTGGAAGAGGAATGGGTGGGTTCCTGGTCCTTCTCCATCACAGGCAAAGGCAAGAGAGTCTCCCTCAAAGGCAAGAGAGTCTCTGGATTGTGTCTTCCCGAGGTGGTGACATCCTTCCAGGATTGGAGATGCTTTCATATGGGTGAAGATGTAGTGGGGCTTCAAGTAGAGGAAGAAATGAGGGAGCTGGGGGCAGATGGGTTGGGACAGACAGGAGAGGGGGGTGAACTAGGGTTATACAGAAGTGGACAGGGGAGGACTTCCTCAGCATCTGACTGCTTCAGAACCAGTTTCTGTTTCTCTGGAGTTTGCCCATTGGAAGGGAGAACAGCTTTGGGAAACACGCAGCTTTGAATAGGCCTTTGTGGCACAGGCCTTTAGCCATGGAGGAGGGTGCTGCTGCACTAGAGTAAACCAGGAGTCGATGTAAGGGAACTGATCAGAGTGTCCTGGTGACCTGGTAACAATCTTCCAAACTGCTTGAACTAAGTCAGGGACAAGGGACCCCTCAGAGGGCCAGTCCACACCGAGAGGGCCACTCAAGCTTGCAAAAAGTTCAAAGTTTGTTCTTGACATTTTCACTCCATAATCATCAGAAAATCCTGAGGAAAAAATTCTAAGCATGCAGACCAGGGATGTAACACGTTGTGAGAATGATGACTCCATAGCAGAGAGACTTAGGGCAGGCAGGAGATACCCAAGAATAGGACCCACAAGAACAATAAAAATAAAAGAAGACCGAGTGGTGTGAGGGAGAAGATATCAAAGGAATCACTTGTTAGACCCTGACAGTATATCAATTAAAGGTGAGTCTCTGTTAAGAGTTTCCTCAAGCTTTGAGAGGGGCTGGGGAGGCCCATGTATTGATGTCAAAGGCTCAGATGCCACTGATGTTTCCACTGGAAAAAGGTAAAGAAGCTCCAAAATGCTTCCTTCTGTAAGGGTAATAGGATATCCTCAACTGCAAGGTCAACAGGGGTCCTGGATACAAGGGGAGGGGAAAAGGTGCCGCCCTCAGAATGACAAAGCCACTGATGATCAGAGGATGTCCTCAAAACTTGGTTCAAGGAGTCAGAAACCCAAGAGAGAAAACACTGATGGTTATAGTTACACAGGGACCACCCAAAGCAGAGGTCAATAAAAAGCAGGTGAGTGAGAACTGACTGAATTAATTATCCTTCTTTGCTTGGCCACAGGCAGGACACGGGGAAGGCGTAAAGGTGGAAAAAAAAAAATGGACCTTAAGTCGGGACTCAAAATCAGGTCATTCCCCAAACTGAAAGGCACCTCAGTTATGCCAGTCATTCAGCTTCAGGTCAGTGGAGGAGTGCTGAGGACGTTGGCCTGGAAGATAGAGAATTTGGCACTGTTGGAGCCAGTGAGGTCTGTCCCAAAGTATGACATGTATGACATGTGAGGCACTGAAGGGATGGTGTGGGGAAGAATAAGATAGTGGGAAAGCAGTCAGGGGAGTCCTGGTAAAAAGAGGTCAGCTACAATTCAGAAAAAGAAGAAAGGTCCAAATGTTTAGGGACAATGGGGACATCCAGACAGAGAAAATCCCTAGTGCTTATGCGGTACACCCTTGAATGATGTCACAACAGACAAAAGATAGGAGTGTTCCTCTGTGGGAAGGAATCACTCAGTTAGTCAGCTGGCCACGGGCCTCTGCCACTTTAAGGACTGTCCAGGCTTTAGGGCATATTTATCCCATCACAAGAACACCCACTTGGCCTTTCTTAGACACGTCCACAGAATCACAGCACAACCTCATTCAGACCTCACAACTCCGAGGGGGAGAAATCTCCTTTTTTGTCATGGGGCATGGACGGGACAGTCTATAACTTACACTGCCCATTCTATTAATATACCCATTCATATAGCAGCCATTCAGAGGTTAAAAATATTCTAAACCCTTTCCTGGGGATTTCCAGAATGGTGAACTTGTAGCCAGAGCCAGGACCAGACCAGACCAGACCAGAGGGCCATCTCAGTCAGCGTCCTGACCTTAGGAGAGGCCCAGAGAATGCCTTCATCAAGGACTATTGTTCTCCACCAGAACCAGAAGGATTCTTACCTGCAGACCAGACCAGGTGGACTCTGGAAAATTTGGAGGGTGTCCCAGGCATCTCTGCAGTCCCTTCAGTGTCAGCAATGAGACTATGGGGCCCTGAAACATCTTAGGGGTACCTCCTCCCATAGTTTGCTGCCACAGACAGGAGGGACCTCAGCAAGGCCAGTGTACCCATTGTGGCAATCTCACTTGGGCCTACAGCTGTTATGGATGAGTGAGTTAGAACAACAGAGATTGTGCCATACTCTGCATCAGATTGGAGTCTATGAAAGCCGGCAACTGAGAGGGGACTAGTGCCCAAAAAGTTCTCTCTGCCCTGAAAAACAGCTTAATTTCTCCTTTTAAGTCATGCTTTCATTCAGGGAGGGCTCAAAGGAACTTTACAGAACAGAATCATACCAGGTTAGTTGCGGGGCACGAGGAAGTTTCACATACTAGGCGAGCTACAAAACATCCTGAAACTGCAGCAAGTTTACTATCAAACAGGATGCAGGAGTTTGGGGTGTTTTGTCTAAGCACAAGCACACATTGGTTGGTAAGATTCAAGATGTAGTCAGGTTCGTTATCATAATAGAGCCCAGGACCCTGTTGCCTGTATGGAGCGGAGAAGTCTTGCTGACTCCCAGGGTTTAGGCTCAGGGAAAGACCAGCCTTTATTGTGATGCCCACTGTGGTTGGCATATGATGACAATATGAACACTGATGCTGCCCCATTGAAAAATAGCACAAGCCCAGGTGTGATGACATAGCCTGTGATCCCAGCACTCTGGGAGGCTGAGGCAGGAAGGTTGTAAATTTAAGCCCCACCTGGGCAACTTAGTGACTTAGGGAGACCCTGTTTCAAAATTGAAAATTAATAAAAGGCTGGGAATATCTGAGTGCCAAGACCCAATACCACAAAGGAAAAGGAAAGAAAAAAGAAATGGACTGAGATCTTTGTTATTTTTCACTCCTTGCAACCCCCACACTTATTTTGTATTTTGTGTTTACAATTCCCTTGCTTTTCTTTATAATTGTACCCTATGTGTCATGTGTTTTGTTCCATTTTGAAATTTATGATATTAATATATTTCTCCAATTTTCTTTTTTGCTCAAGTTGCTGCTAATTTTCTTCTCATAAACAGTGTTCTGCTCAGTGTGCATCTCACTTTTTTATGTACATCAGTGCTTATTTCCTCAGCATAAGATATTAGACCTAAATTGCTGTATCAAAGCATATGTATGTCTTTTAGGGCTTTTGACATACATTATCTCCAGGAAGAGTTTACTGATTTATTCTACCAGGCTCTGGCAGCTCTGTGAGATTGGCAATTATATATGGAAGATCATTATGACTGTAATAACTCTGGATGGATTGTAATGAATAATAATGAATTTGGATGAGTTATAATGATCTTTATAATTATAATGAGATATAATTATGATGATTTAGTCCCTAAATAATTGTCAGTTTAGGCCGGGGATTTAGCTCAGCAATTCTACTGCCTGCCTCACAAGCACAAGGTCCTGAGTTTGATCCCTGGTGCCCCCAAAATAAAAAAATTGTCAATTTGAAGAGAGAAGCCCCATTCTTTGTTTTTTTAACTACATAGATCCCCCACTGTTGTAGGAATCATGTGTGTGTGCGCATGCACACACATGCACATGTGTGTGGTACTGGGAATTGAACCCAGGACCCAGGGCCTTCACCCTGAGCTACGTCTTCAGCCTGTTATTATTATTATTATTATTTTGACAAGGTCTTGCTGTCTTTAAACTTGCAATCTTTCTTCCTCAGCCTCCTAGAGTGTTGGTATTACAGCCACCAACCCTGGCTTGGGAAGTCTGTGAATGACAAAACCCAGACCAGCAACATAAAGCTCTTACTGAAAGAAGAGGATTAAGGAGAAAATACGAAGCACAGTGTTCCTATTATTTGTGAAATACGTACAACACATAGCACCGACTCTAGGTAGCGTCAATGTACACACATGAAATATGGGTTCAGGGCACAGCCACTGAGCACTACAGGCAATTCCACTCCTCACTCACCGGTTCAGGCAGGAACATCAGGAGCTGCCCCATTCCCAAGTGCGGGGGCAGCAGAGCAGCACAGCAGTCACCACTGCCGTCCCTCAAGGACAGCAGACCCTCCCTGCTGTGCGCCTGGGTGTCGTCAGCCCGGAGTTCAGCAGCACCAGAGTCCTCACCTCAGCTGCTTGGCAAGTGAGCTGCCTGACAAGTGAGCTGCCCTAGGGGCTGTGCAGCGCAGCTCTGTTCCCACCAGATCCTCTACTCCAGCCATGGTGTCCTCACCACCTCTCAACAGGAGCAGCTCTGCCTGGCTCGGTTTGTCCACTCCACACCTAGCCTGCTTTACCCTGTCTGTTGAGCACATCACACGCATTTCCAGGTCTGCCGCCCAGGGTGGCTGGTGTGGGGGTGTGTCACGTGGCAGGGTTGGCTCCCAAAACACACAGAGCTCTATCCTGGGGCCTCCAAGAAGGTTTCCCTTTCTCAAGGATGGGACTGAGGTTGCTGGCACTGGTCAAGCCTGTTCAGCTTGCTTGGCTCTTTGCTGTGGCATCTGGGATTGCTGCAGCTATCCTGTGACTAAGCAGGAAAGGCCAAGACAATCACAGAGGCACTGGCTTCATACCGGTGAACTTCTGAACCAGTGAGCTAATTCTTCATTTTCTATTACCTAAAAACATTCTTATTAATGAGATGTTCTATTGGCTATCTCATGCAATAGTTTTGGGAATTATGTGTAGTTTTTCTGAAGGCTAAGTGCAGTGCCTAGTAGTATTAAACACTGGATTATAAGGTATCACACGCTTGGTCAGCACCCACAGGTCCCGCTACTTAGGGTACCTCCGCTCCGAGGCACAGACTGGCCGGGTAAGCTGAGGACAGGCTCATGATAGTTGTGTCCCCTGCTGCTGAGCAGCTGTCCATGACCTTAGGCAAGTTGTGCCCTTCGGTTGACTTTGATTTCATAGGCTCCTTGTAAAATATTACCAAAGCTTTTTCAGCTCTAAAATTCTTTGATTCTGTTTCTTTCTTCTAGAAATATTTTTCCTTCATAGGATGCAGAAGCCAGGCTGAGAGAACCAGAGAGCAGCATTCAGAGTGGAAAGAGTGGGACACTTTATAAAGAGCCCTGGGATTTCCTGGTCTCCCTGCAAGCCTCCTCATGTGATGCCAGGTCACCTTGGCAGTGGCCACAGCAGAGCTGCTGACCAGTGACCTGAAACACTTCCTGCACCAATGAGATGTTCTCTGTGTGTTCTGTGTCTAGCCTAGCAGCACTGGTGCCACAGGACCATGAGCACTAAAATGTAGACAGTGAGACCAAGGAACTCAACTTTTAAATGTCACTTAATTTTTATTACATCAAGTAGCCATCTGAGGCCAGTGGCTTTCATATTAGACAACGTAATTCTAGAATCCAGCCCTGACTACCAGTTTACAGGAAGTCAGAGAAAATAGAACAAGCTAAAGGATGACAATGGGAAAGAATCAAACAGATGCATAAGGGAGAGAGTTCTACAGCACAATGGTCCTGGAGTCCTGAGAAGGTCGGTGCCATTAGAAAAACAACAAAAACAAACAGTTTGAGGGGATTTTTTTCTTATCTTAGAACAAATGAAAGAAACATAAACTATGATCCTAACTGGCATGGTGGACACACCTATAATCCCAGCACTCTGGGAGGCTGAGGCAGGAGTATCCCAAATTTGAGCCCAGCTTGGGTAACAGCAACTTGGTGAGACCCTGTCTCAAAATACAAAAACTAAAAGTGCTGGGGATTCAGCACAATGCAAAGGCCCTAGATGTAATACCAAATACTGAAAACTAAACAAAACATAAACGTAGATAAGATCATGATTGGAAGAACAATGCAGATTTAAAAGACATTCTTGCGTCAACTGAGAAGTAGTGGTTTGGCTACAGGACAACATCAGGAGTCACTGTTCTCTTTTCTTAGGTATTTTACTGGTATCGTAATACATGGAAGATCATTACTTTTGAAGGTGTATATGAATTGTTTAGGAGTAAAAGGTTATAATTCTTGCAGTTTCCTTTCACCAGCAGGTGTGGGGGAGGCTGGAGTGCACACAAGAGAGCTAAAGTAGATGCAGCAAATGTTTATTCTTGTTTTTCTCTTTTTGTCCTATTCTCTTCTGTCTTACGTGATTCATCTTCCAAGAAAGAAAGCAGAAAATGTGCCTAACAAGCTGAATGGTTTACAAGGACATTTTCCAGTGGAATGTTAAAGCTGATGTCTGGCTTCTTGTTTTTTATAGTAAATTGGGTGGGAAGTGAGAGCAACTAAAGAGAGGAGTCAGGACTTGCTGTCTTAAAAAAAATCCTCAGATCCTCTGATGAAAAATAACAACATCAAGAGATGGCTTCCAGGCAATGATGAGCCCAGGGTGCTATCAGGAAAATGTGGTAGGAAGTCAATGACTGCTGATCAGGCTGTTTCCAGGTTCTTGGTGTGCCCAGTTGAGCAGGACACTCAGAAATAAGAGGAAGATTTACTAAAAGTGAACATACAGGCTGGCAGAAGAGCTCTCTGCCCCTAGGGTCAGCACGGAGGCTGGGAGGGTCTGGAACTGGGACTAGCAGGGGTTGTGGCCCAGCAGGGAACCTGAGTCAGCCCATGTGTCAGAGGGGGAGGTTTCACACACACAGGGTTCTCAGAGGGTGTTCAAGGTTCTTGGTGGGGGGCGGGGTCAAGACCACAATGCTAATGATGTATTGACAGTTGTGCTTGCTCTATCTCTCAATTCTTAGCCCATAGCTTTGTGCTGTTTATTTGTCCTTGTTCTATCTCTTGCTTCAAAGGGTGTAGATGTAAAATATCTTCTTGAGTTTTGCTAGGAAAATTTGGGGGTCCTGCCTCAGACAATTATTGGGTCAAATAAAGGGATTTCCAAGCCCCTTTGTGGGTGGAGGCTGTGGTAAGGGATACATGTAGGGGCCTGGGCAGCAGGTGAGTGAGTCAGATGTCCAGGGTGGGCTCAGTGGCCCGTTTCCTGTATTATTTTTTCTTCTTTTTTGCGGTACTGGGGATTGAACCTGGGGCTTTATATTGCATTATGTCTCCAAGCCCTTTTATAATCTTTTGAGACAGGGTCTTGTTAATTTGCTAAGTTTTCTGGGCTGGGTTCTAATGTGCAATCCTCATGCCTCAGCCTTCCAGAATTCTGGGATTATAGACCTGCACCACCATTCCCAACTATGTGTCCTGATATTTGTGCCCTTGTAAAGTTACTTCCAAGCTGATTGCACACTGCAGAGGAAGTAGTGTAGAACTTCTGATGTTTAGCTATAAGAAACTGTATTCTCTGTCAGGCTGTCTTACAGCTCTGCTCTGGGGAATCCAGTTGCCCCATCCAGGGGGCTCTCAAGAAGCCCATATAAAGAATGCTGGTTTCTCAGAATGCAGCCTTGTTTGGAAGTGGAGTCATGCAGATGTAGCTAAGATGAGGTCATAAGAGCACAAGCTGTGCCCATGATCATTGTGGCTGGCACCCTCAGAAGAAGAAAGTGAGACAGGAGAATGCCTGAGACACAGAGCAGGAGTGAGCAATGCGTCTGCCAGGCGAGGACATGCGGGATTGCTGGCGACAGTGAGAAAGGCTTGGAGCTGGCCTCTTTTAGAGCATTCAGAGGCCCCGCTGAGGCCCTGTTTCTAGCCCGATACAGGAGACTGCATAATCAGTACTGTGGTATCCCACAGCTTTCAGAATGGGAGAACAGTCTGTCATCAAGCCACCTCTTCCATGATGCATTGTAGCAGCCCCAGGAAATGGACGCAAAGAGGGAGGAGACCAAACTGCCAGCCCAGTGGGTAAGGCATCTGGGAAGTGTCATCCACCTCCAGCGAGAGCAAGACCAGGAAAGCCAGAGCTGCCCAGTGGGCTGCAGTCACGTTTGTGTCACACAGAAGCAGAGGTGTCTGTTGCTCTCCAACCCACTCAGACTGCAGGTACTGCGAGGACCTCAGGGGAAGGACACACTTGGAGGGGGGTGACTCCCTGCTCTGCAGCTTGCCCACTGTATTCAGGGCACTGCTGGTGGCCTGGAGTCTGGTCCCTCTCCCCAGCTGGAACCGAGGTGGCCGCAGGAAGGAAGCATGGCCTGGAAGTCTGGAAGACGGTTGGCTCTGCCAGGCCACAAGCTCCGAAGCCCATTGCTTCCCATCCTGGTTTCCTCCTTGGCTCTGTTCCCTCACATGGCCACACATTGTCCTCCTCTCCTCCCCAGCCTGCCTACTCCAGTTCTGCTGTCCGAGTGCTGACTTCAGTCTTTTCTACGACACCTGATTTAAAAATTAATTAATTTTATTGGTACCTTTTAGATATAACGATCACGTTCATCATAGGGAATTTGTACCCTATACACCATGTATCTTGATTCTTCTTTTTTTTCCCATTCCCCTCCCTTCAATCACTCTTCCCCTCCTTATTTACAAAAGCTTTGTTTCCATTTTTTCTTTCTTTTCTCCTTTCCCTTCCTTTATTTCCTCCTCTCTGTCCCTAGTTCCTCTTCCTATTTGAACCTTTTCTTGCTACTTCACATTATCATACATTTTGGTTCTTATTTACTGTTTGGTTTCTCACCCAGAGAATATGATGTTTACATGCATGTAAATTTATTTCACTTAAGAGTATGGTCTTAAGGTGCATCCATTTACCTAGAAATGTCCCAAGTTTATTCTTTATGGCTGAATATATATGTATATATACATACATACACACACACACACACCATATATATATGACATCTTCTTTATCCTGTCACTTGTTGATAGGTATGCGGGCTGTTTCCAAGATTTAGCTATTAAAAACCATGCTTCTATAAACATAAATGCACATAGTATGATGCTTTTAATTCTTTTGGGAAGACGCAAGAAGGGGAATAGCCAGGTCAAATGGAACCTCTAGTTTTAGTTTTCTGAGGAATCTCCACAAGGATTTCCACAGTGCTTGCACCAATGTACACTTCCACCAAGAGTGGAGCAGGGCTCCTTTCCCCCCACAACTGCACCAGTATTTCTTACTGACTTTCTGATAATAACTGTTCTTCCTGGAGTGAAACAGACTCTGTGTTGTTTTAATTTGCATCTCTTCAATGAAGTTGAACATTTTTCATATATATGTCTATTTGTTGTACTTCTTTATCTAGGACATGTCTATTTATTTTAGATCCCCATTTAAAGACTGGGTCTTTAAATTGGGGGGGTCCGAGTTCTTTATATATTATATTACTATATATTAGATCTTTATATACTAGAGGAGATCTCAAAGAATACAAAAGAATAGAGGTCTGGATAATGTTTGTTTTTGTTTTTGCAAAATTGGATATCGAACCCAGGGTCTTTACACTGAACTATATGTCGAGCCCATTTTTATTTTTCACTTTGAGACAGGGTCTTACTAAGTCCCTGAGTAGACCCAGATGGGCTCCATCCGCCTGCCTGTCTCCCAGAGTGTTGGAA